GTTAAGTTTTTTTTTAACACATATTACACACTTTCAAACAAGTATAAAATACAACCACACCTAACGAGAAGTATGTATATTTGTCATGGTGTATGGAACTGGACCTCTGTTGAATGGTGCATTAGGAACTGAAGTGTAAGGAACCGAATGATGTTGAACCCCGTAAACCATTGGCTTGGCCCAAGGACCGGCTCTGGCCAAGAGATTCATGTCAGTTCCATGAGGTAAGACCTTTGGTCCAAACACTGATTGGCCAATAGTGTGTGTGCCACAGAAAGGAACATTCACTGGTGGTAGCGAAGCGGCTTGCATGTTACATATGGTAGGTTTCCCAAATACATGATGCTCTATTGATTGTGAAGTGGCTTGTGTGTTCCATATGGTAGGATGGTCTAGTGATGGTTGTGAATTGGCTTGAGTGAATCGTGCTTTCATTGCTGAGATGTTAGTGCTTTCCGCAACGTTGAAGTCTTGAATGCTCTGTCGCTGCCTGCTGCTGTTCTTGTTCTTAGATTTGAGACGCTCATAGTATTTTTGAGCGTGACTTGCAACTTGCGATGGTGTTCGCGTCAGAACAACATGACGAGAAATGCTACGCCAATCACCTTTTCCATATTTTTCTAGACCAAGAAGGAATTGACTGTTCCGAGAAAAAAAAAAAAAAAAAAGCATATGATTCAACATCTTATAAAAAATATCAACTATAAACCATACCAATATATTTAAAAAATCAAGCTAACACTCAAACCATTCAAAATGTTGGTATGTTATTTTTTTAAAAATCATAATATCTTTTTGTTTTGTTCTTTATTTTTATTATTTTTTCATTATTTTTTTTACACTCAAATGAAAACTTGTGATCTTGTTTTTATATAATTTAAGATAATATTTTATATACAACTGAAATTATTGCATAATATCGTGATGTCCTTAAAAATCGATTATTTTGTCTATATAGGTTCGGAACTGGTATGATCATGCATAAGTGAATAGAAGAAAAATTAGTAGTAGTAGTAGTAACTAACCTGTGTTCAAGCGGTGTCCATGGAATCACCTTACGTCGCTTTGGCTTTGATGTTGGTTCACCTTCTTGCTTATTCTCACATTTGCGATCGTTGCTACCTTTCCCAATGTTTTTTCTTCTAACATTTGTATCTTCTGGAACATCATAATCAGGAAGAGGTATGTCTCCAGATTCAATTTTCATAACATCATGAAGTAAACTCTTGTAACGCTCTATAACTTGTTCTAAAGTTTTCCCTGAAACAACCCCAGCAATCTTTTCCCAACGGTTATCTGTCTCATCGATATAAATCGCAAGAGCACTCTCAAAAGCAATATCATCATCCCTACTCCATGATGAACCACCTCTAGCTTTCTCTCCTACGATCATTTTTCAAATAAACCTTTAACAACCTTCAATAAAATGTTAGACCAACACTTGAGAATGATACACTATAAACCCAAAAACATAAACTAGCATTGATAAAACCCCAAACTAAGATATTTCAAGAACTACTGAACCTGCATGGGGATGATACATATAATATAATTTGAAAGAAAGCAACGTTAATGATAAATGCCTATACATGGATAGCTATAACTCTTTTTCTTGGTCAAGATAACTATAACTTTTAGTAATATAGTATACTATTTTTTTCTTTTTTCTTTTACTTTTTATTTTCTAGTCATAACCAAAAATGGTGCATAATAATAATACAATTGTATCATATCACAGCTGTTAACAATACTGGAAACAAATCTTTATTTTCATTTATAAATATATTAATGAAGAAAAATATGCTTAGAGCTTTTAAATGTTAATTATGATTATTGACAACAATTGCATACAAGTCTGACTCTTTGACGTCATCACGAGGCAAAAATTAAACTCTACTTAAATTTGTCAATACTTTTTGACTATATTTTATTTATCTATACTACTATTTGGATTTTGCAAAGTTATTTTTTGTATCAGAGTTCTCTCATTAAAAATTAGAGTGACTAAAGTCAACCTTAATAAATAATTAGATTTATCAAAACATAATTATCCATAAATTAAAAATAATTTCAATAATTTGATACCTAAAAGTAGTTTACAATGTGTTATAAAATATTTTACCTTAATTAATAATTAAAGTAGTTAATATATTAATTAACGATAAGTTAAAAAATAATTTTACTGATTTATATTTATCATTAGACAAAAATATTTTATATTGCGTTAACCTAAAATTTATTTTACATCATAATTTCTTGTTTTAAAAAAATAAGATAAATTTGTATATATATATATATATATATTGTAAACAGTTTTTGTATACATGATTTTTTTAAATATATTTTCCGTAGTAAAATATAATTTTATTATACTAAAATACTTAGTTATATGTAAAAATGATATTTAATTTATTACTAAATATTTTAAAAGTTTGAATGTTGAGATACAATGGGCGGGCATAAACGGTCTGGTGTTTCAAATTTATTTACCTAATAAAAACATTTATGTTATNTTTAAATATATTTTCCGTAGTAAAATATAATTTTATTATACTAAAATACTTAGTTATATGTAAAAATGATATTTAATTTATTACTAAATATTTTAAAAGTTTGAATGTTGAGATACAATGGGCGGGCATAAACGGTCTGGTGTTTCAAATTTATTTACCTAATAAAAACATTTATGTTATTGTAAAAGATATGTACATAAAAATAATTTTTGTTTAAGTTATTACTAAATATTTTGAAAGTGGTGTTTCAAATTTATTTACCTAATAAAATATTCATGTCTATCCTAGGGAATTTCTCATAAAATAACACTAAACTGTTTTTTTAATATTTAAAAACTATTTATAACTTCAATCTCAATTTGTTATTATATTTTTGATTTGTGGTATTTTTGAAATTTGTACTTAGCATGTGGTATCTCTAACAGTTTCTCAAATAAATTTTCTTAGTTAACATATTATCCATAATTTTAGATAATTTTGTTTAATTATCATATTTTTAGGATTTTGACTAATGATTACTTATTATTTCTTAATAAATAGTTAAATTTATTAATATATAGTTAACTATAACTTAAAAACGAATTAATATATAATTAATCTTAAATTAAAAGAAATTTCATTGTTTGAATAAATGAGATTATCAATATCTAAAAATAGTTTATATTAGTTAACCATAAACTAAAAGTAAATTAATATATAAGTGGCCATTAATTAAAAATAGATTTCAGTGATTTGATACTTATCATTATCTAAAAATATTTTATATTATGTTATAAAGTTTTTATTATTGTTAATGAATTATTATATATTTTTTTGTCAGCTTATATTTTTAATATATAATTAACCATAAATTAAAAGAAAATTTATAAATTTGATAGTCACCATTGTATAAAAATAGTTTATGTTGTGTTATTCAAAAATATATTTTACATTAGATTTTTTTTTTAAAAAATATAAAATATAAATCCAATTATATTGTATATAATATTAATAAATATATTAATAAATTCAAATTTATTTTATGCAATAAAAGGTATATCTGTTATATTGGCAAATTTTGTCATATGTATAAAACTTATTATTTAATTTATTATTAAATATTTCAAGAGCGTTAATTGTTTTTAAATTTATGTTCGTGATAAAAATATTTATGTTATGATAAAAACTTATATAGAAATAATTTAGTTTTTTAACTTTTATTAAATAGTTTGTATGTATGAATATTAATTTACTTTAATTTTTATTTCACAAGATCATGTATTTACTTTATGCGCGCACATGCGGGAAAAACATCTAGTTTTACAATAAATTTGATGACACTTTTTGAATTTCTTTTTAAACTGATTATTTTTATTAATAACTTAGGTTTATAAGAAAAGAAGATTAAACTAAGACGCCTAAATCATTGTAATTACTTAAAAATTATTTGTAAATATTTATTTATAAAAGTTAATAAACTCAATCTGACTTCCTAAATACTAAACTGTAAACAATATTACTAAACCATAGACTCAAATGTTATGTATTTTGATTGAGTATAATTTGAAAAGTGGTAGTCAACTTATTGTATTTCAAACAATTTCTCAAATACTTTTTGTCATTTTTATTATTTTTATTATTCATATATATATTTATTTATTTTTTTTATCTGAAAGTTGTTTACATAAGGATTCACATAAAATTATGATTTTATTTGGAAAATAATCATACTAAAAAATATAGTATTCCAGAAAAAAGACATAAAAATATCTTAAATTGACATTATACAATCAGTACATTTTAAATAGAAAGAAGTTTCATATAAATTTCAAAATAAACTATAATACACAAATGTATACCAATTTTGAAAAAAAATTAAGAAAAATCTATAGATGTGCAATATTAATTTAACACTTATGCTAGCTAGATTTTAAAATTACATAATTTTACAAACAAATTTCATTTTCAAACTAAATAAATTACGTAAAAATGTAAAAATTCATAAGAAAGGGTTTGTCAACAAGTAAAATATAATGTATAATATTCCCCCAAATGATACATTTTCATAACAAACAAAAACAACTAAAATATAAAACTCAAGAATTTGACGTTAATGACAAGGCAAATTGAATGTTAAGTTTTTTTATACACAAATGACACACTTTAAAACAAGCATAAAATACAACCGCACCTAACG